AATAAATGTGCATTTTTGGATAGACTAACCCTAAGGATTTCTCCAGGTCCCTTCCTGGTGTTCTCTTATATTTTTAGACAATACATTCATTCATTTAATTTATTCCAGGTGCCTCCAGGAATACCCTATTTTGCACTTCTGCGATGAGAGTCGAAGGAAAGGAAAACGGGTTAAAAAGGACAGACAGAGCATGAGATAATCAGTGACGAAAACTTTGAAATCAGATCAGTTTATTGTTCAGCCAGAAGCAACTTGGTATTTATGGGCACATTTCCAAAGAGTGGGTGGGATGGTCTGAAGCCGGGCAACAGAATGTTCTGGAAGAAGAGATCCGGCCACCCCACACCGTCCGGGGGTGGTGGTGGTTACAAGACAGGGTAGCTCGCGCCGTTGGCTACACCGCAGTGGTTGGATCCTTTCTCCAGATACAGGTAGCCTTTGTCTCCCCAGTATTCAGACCAGCTGTGGGGGGACAGGAAGAATAAGCAGAGAAAAAGAAGAAATCATCATTCATGACCCTCCCAAGGCAGGAGGGAGCAGTGGATAGATGGCTGGAGTCCCCACAAACCCGTGGAGTTCCCTGGTGGACGTTGGTCCTCTCCTTCTTTCTCAGCCTGGCCTGCTTTAAAGGGTGGTGGAGAAGGAAAAAAGTTGGAGTTATTGCAACCTCGCATGCTGCCTTTAGCAGGTTGGACTGGGCTGCCTGTCAATCTCTCCAGCAGCAACCAATCAATCTCTCTGCCCTCTCATTCAAAGGGAGCCCCGCCGCTCTCCTTTTGAGCTTTCCCCCTCTCTGTAGTCTGCTGGAAGCAGTGAGCTTCATGGGGGGGGGGGCTTGTGGCTGAAAGCAGCCACGTTCTGTGTTTGCTGCTGGATCAGAACTGGAAGCCAGCGAAGCTTCTTGTTCACCTCACGTCTCAGAAGGAGTGACGGAGACTGTTAAGTGCCAGCTTATGAGAAGACAAGGGGTGGGCTAATATGGGGAGAACTTGAAGCTATTCTGCTCTGCAATCCTCTGGGCATCTGATGGGCCGCTAGAGGAATTTCACCAAAATTCAAAACTCTGCAACCTACAGTAGGGAGGACAAGACCCATGGATGCTCCCTGGCTCTTCAGGGAGAAAAGGCAGTGTATAAATAGAATAAACTGCATAAAATAACACACGAGAACATTAGCCAAAGATGGTTAGAGGATTACGATTCCTGGCACTGGTTTACCAGGGAGACGGAGAAACCCACTGTGTCACCCAGTGAATTTGGTGGTGAGCACCAGACTCCGGGTCTCCCGAATCCTGGTCTGACCCTCTAACTGTCACTGGGTGTTATGCAAAATA